GACCTGACGCCCCGGGACGGCCGAGAATCGACCACAGCCACAGCCGGCGTGCTCATGTGTCGAGGTCGGCGGCTTCTCCCCCGAGGGGCCCTCCGGAGACAGATCCACTCGGATGTGGCTGTGCTCCTCTGCCTTGGCGGCGAGCGATGGAGGGGAAGTTACGAGAGAGAAGGCCTTCTCAGAAGGCTCGGGAGGCCCCCCGGGCCTTCCGGAGGTTTTCTCAGATGTGGTTGTGCTTCTTTGCTTTGGCGGCGAGCGAGGGGGGGAAGTAAGAGAAAGAGAAGGCCTTCTCAGAAGGCTCGGAAGGCCCCCCCGGGCCTTCCGAGAAGTCTGCTGATCCTTCCCCGAAGCTGCAGGAAATCTCTCGGAGGGCAAGAGGGCCTCTGAAAAGCCCCGCCGCCCGCGGAGGAGGCCTCCTCCTCCTCCTCCTCCTCCTCCTCCTCCTCCTCCTCCTCCTCCTCCTCCTTCTCACCTCCCCCTCCCGCTCGATTGTTGCGCCCGCACGCCTGCAGGGGCCGTCTGGAGATGATCACCCACCTCCTCTCGAGCAGCCTCGGCGACGGGCCGCGGGGGTGGGGGCACGCCGGCGGCCGCGGTAGGAGCAGGAATAGGAGCGGGAGAAGGAGTGCGAGAAGGAGAAGGAGAAGGAGAAGGAGAAGGAGAAGGAGAAGGAGAAGGAGTAGGAGAAGGAGAAGGAGAAGGAGTAGAAGAAGCTTTTTGCTGTGGACCGCTGCCCGTCAAGCTTCCGAAGAGATTGCCAAGCAAGTGAAAATTGTTAATTACAAGTCGATGAGCGTATCGACGGCGCTCCCCCAATCAAGACACTTTTTCTTAGGGGGTTTGCCTTGCCTGAGCCTCCCCAGCGCCTTACAATTATATGCCGTGAGGGCCGCCGGGCCATTCGACGCGACTCGGCACTCCATGCGCAAATCGCGAGGCTTAGATTACGCCCAGCATCCGCACAAGCCACAGAAAGTGAAGCGACCTTTACTACAGGCAGCGCACCCTGTGCCCGTGGACGTAGGCACGGGCAGGAAAACGTCGAGGGGGGTCGGTCATTCCAAGCCTACACCAAAGGTCATCATCGATTGGTGCTTTGCCGACCTGCGAGTCCCCCGCTCGCTGCCCTCTAGCCCGCCGTGGACGCTCAGGCGTGGGAGGTGCAGTGTGCACAAGGGTCGCACAGTTCGAACGAACCGTTCGGAAAAACATGCGAGCGGCGGGTTGCAACAGTTGCAGGAACAGGAGTGGGAGCTGGAGTGGGAGCAGGAGTAGGAGTAGAGTAAAAGTAGGCGATGGTAGGTTAGAGCAGAGTGGGGCCGAGTAGGGCAGTGTGAACTAGAGTGGGGCAGATGGTGAAGTAGAGTCGGGCAACATGCAGTTGAGTAGACCAGTATACTGTAGTAAAGTAGACTAGAGGAAAGCAGGTTAGAGTAGGATACAGTATGAGTAGGCTCGAACAAGAGTAGAGTAGAGTAGAGTAGAGTAGAGTAGAGTAGAGTAGAGTAGAGTAGAGTAGAGTAGAGTAGAGTAGAATAGAGTAGAGTGGAGTAGAGTAGAGTAGAGTAGAGTAGAGTAGAGTAGAGTAGAGTAGAGTAGAGTAGAGTAGAGTAGAGCAGAGCAGAGCAGAGCAGAATACAGTAGAGTAGCGTAGAATGGAGAATGTTCGGGTAGGGTAGGGTCCCGCCCTCATGGGAGGAGGAGGAAAAGGAGGAGGCGAGTGAGGAGGATACCGAAGGATCAGAGAAAGAACAGCAACAAGCAAAGCAACATGGTCGGACGGAGTCGCCTGGCAGTCTGGGCTATCCTTGAATATTGCTGTGTTTGGTTGTTTGTACTGGTTGATTGTGGTTGTATGTGCGCTTGCGTTTTCAATGTGTGGTGTTTCTTTTTGTTTGCTGATCCTGAGGAGGAGGAGGAGGAGGAGGAGGAGGAGGAGGAGGAAGAGGACAAGGAGGAAAAGGAGGAGATGAGAGCGGAGAAGGATGATGATGATGATGATGATGATGATGATGATAAGGAGGATGGAAGAATGGAGTAGAGGGAGAAAACGGAGGAGCGAAACGGTGTTGGAAAGATAACGACTACTGTTCAAACCCTTTGAAGACTGATTCGTTTTGTGCCAAAAGGGGCTACAGATCCAAGTGCGCACAGCGCGTTCCGGCAGGGCTCTGCCGGAACCCGCTGGTGACGATCAGTATCGACGATCCTCGACACTCCCTTCGCGACCGCGGGGAGCACTCGCCAGCGGGCGCGACCGAGGATCGGTCCTGCACTTGCACTTGCAGGCGGGCTGGCGGGCACGCGCGGGACCTCCGCGCGTCGGCTCAAGCCCCATTCACTTCACGTCTAGCCCGTCACAGCCGCCTTCCAGGAGAGCGAGCCGAAGGGCCCGCCGCGCAGGCCCAACTCCCAGCCGTGCCTCACCAGCTTCTCCTTCGCCAGGGCCTTGGTGAGGAGATCGGCCGGAATGGCCTCGGTCGGCACCTTGCCGACACGGAGCCGCTTCTCCTTGACCCAGTCCTGGACCGCCAACATCTTCAGCTCGATGTGCTTCATCCGCCCTGGCCCCCGCTTCTTGGCAACAGCGAGCGCCGAGGACGAGTCCGTCATAAGCGCGGGCGCGGCCTCGCCATAGCCCCACTCCTTCAGCAACGTGTCGGCACCCAGCGTCTCGATCGCGCCTGAGCCGATGGCGTAGAGCTCGGCCTCCGCGCTGGACAACGCCGGGGTCTTCTGGGCCCTAGCCCACGTGAGCACCGAGCAGCCGTACATCATGACCGCGCCGCCCGAGATGCTCTTCCTGGTGTCTGGGTCGTCGGCCCAGTCGCTATCAGTGTACGTCTTCAGGGAGTCCGATCCACCGCGTGGCACGAGCAGCTGGTGGACCTCGCGCGTGCCCAAGAGGTAGCGGACCAACTTCTTGAGCATCCTCCAAGCCTTCACCGTGGGCGCCTTCATCTGCTTGCTCAGCTTGTTGACGTCGTGCTGGATGTCGGGCCGCCGGTGGCTGAGGTACATCGCCTTGCCCACGCACGACATGTAGAGCACGGCGTCCTGGGCGCTGAGCTCCTCGTCGTCGTCCTGCTGCTTCTTGGCGTTGCTGGTCTCTGGCACCTCCGAGGTCTTCGCGCCCCCCATGCCCAGCAGCTCGGCCATGTCGGTGATCAGGAGCGGGTTGCCCTGCAACGTGAACCCGCCGTCAACCTTCCTGATGTTGAGCGCCAGCAGGCGGCCCTCGTCACCATCCTCGAAGAGCTTCACCGAATCCTGCATGTTCAGCTTCTCCTTGGCCTCCCCGAGGAACGAGTTCACCTGCTCCCTGGGCCCCGTGACAAGGAAGTCGTCGATGTGCCTCCCTGCCTTCTGGTCGTAGTCGCCCTCGATCTTGAAGAAGATGCAGCCGTCGTAGCGCGACTGCTGCATGTGCATATCCCTGGTCAGCACCTTGCTGGAGTGTGCGCCCCAGGCTTTCGGGCTGCCCTTCAGCCCCGGGAAGGCCGAGACCGCCTCCCAGACCATGTCGGGCGGCAGGCCAGCCTCCGGCGGAGGCTCGATGTAGACCTTCTCGCCAGTGCCGTCAGGATCCAAGGGCGCCTGGTAGAACGCGCCGCTGCAGTCCCCGATCGCCGCCACGCGGCCCTTCCTCGCCGCGTCCACGAGCATCATCTTCAAGTGCATCGTGGCGGGCGTCGCCGAGAAGAAGTCTTCGTTGCCCTGCAAGGCCTGCTCGAACCCCCTCGTGGTCCAGCGAGCCTTCAGAGCTCCATCATCATGCTGGTCCTCCACCCAGCGCCCCGACAGAGGCCTCGACGTCGCCTCCGCTCTCGGCACCACCCTCACGATATTGCCGTCCTCCTTGGTCAGCTTCGCGATGTGCTTGAGCCGCGCCTCGTAGAAGTTCGCCGGCTCCTTCTCCTCGCACACCTCGCGCAACGCCGCAACTCTCATGCGCTGGCTCGGCAGTTCCGCGTCGCCAGTGCCTCCATCACGTTGCACTGCCACTGCCTGGGCCCCGCCGGGGCGCACTCCCGCTGGCGGCGGAGCAGCGCCAGAAGTGTGCACAGCGCGTTCCGGCAGGGCTCCGCCGGAACCCGCTGGCGCCGGCGCTGGCGGGGGCATCGGCATCGTGCCCAGGCGCGCCCTTTTCGCCCTCTCGTGCGGCTCCAAGCCTGCGCCTACCACGTCCATCGGTACTGGAGCTGGTGGCGCTGCCGCTGCGGCTGCTGCACCTGCTGCGGGCGCTGGCGGGGCCGCTGCGCCTGCTGCGGGCGCCGGCGGGGCCGCTGCGCCTGCGGCGCCTGCCTCGGCCGCTGGCGCTGGCCCAGCGCCCGCCGCCGCCTGAGGCGCCCTCCCTGGCGCCACTCCTGCCACGGGCTGCAGTGGGGGCGGGCCGATGATGATGGGCTCCTGGTCGCTCCTCACCTTCGGCGCCTGCCTCTGATCGTCGGCGTCGCGAACCAGGGGTCCCACTTCATGGCCTCCAGCAGCGCGACGTCCCAGCGCCTGTCCTCCACTCGGCGCTTCAGCGCTCGGCTGCGCACCAGACCGTTCGGCGCGCCGACGAGGTGCTCGTCGGTCTTGGAGTCGCGCCCCAGCCATACTCCCTCCAGCCAGGCCGTCTCCAGCTTGTTCAGGAGAGCCCCTGGGCGGCGGCAGGCCACCGCCTCGCCTGGCATCAGGATCGTGTTGCTGTAGGGCACCCTCCTGATCTTCTCGCAAGGCGTCATGCCCGAGTCCGCCCTCTTGTGGAACCGCGCGCACTGCCAAGCTGCGCGTCTCGGCAACCACGTAAGCAACTTCGAGTCGGGTCTGATCCTGAGCCCCGAATGCCTCTCGATCTGGAGCTTGTAGGCCTTCACCTGGTTGCGGATCGCGGGCACCATGCGCTCAGCTCCCCCGTTGCTCTGGTGGCTGTAGCGCTTCGATATCTGCACGATGATCTCGCACGGCGGCGCCTCCATCCTCGCGATCCTCGCCTTTACCTGGTTGATGAAGGCTACTGCCGCTGGCTCGCCGTCGGACTGCAAGACGACCTTGTTGTAGCCCAGTTCCGAGAGGTACGACGTGAACGACGCTATCGCATACACGTCCTCCTTGCCATGGCTGAGCACCGCTGATGCCCATGGGAAGCCCGAGGCCATGTCGACCGCCACCGCGAAGTCGAAGTTCGGCACCTCTTCCTCGCCTTGCGCAGGTATGTCGCCGGCCTCCGCGTAGTCGAACTGGATGACTGGCACTGGCTTCTTGGCAACGCCCTGGTGGCAGGCGTCGACCCCTTGGCCTGCACGCAGATGTCGCACCACGGCATCGGGGGGTCGCGCAGCAAGTTGTGCATCTCTATCTCCTCTTTGCTCGGCTGCTTGGGGCCCGGCAAGGTTCTAGCTGGGGTGATCTCCGCCTCAACGCGCTCGACCTCGGCCTCTGGAGCCTGGACCCGCGGCTGCAAGTCCTGTAACACCTCCTGGTCAGCTCGAGCTGGGACCACTGCGTGCTCCTGTCGTCGAAGCTGCGTCCTCGGGCCTGGCTCCACGGAGCGCTCAGCGCGTTCCGGCAGAGCCTCGCCGGAACCCACTGGTGAAGATTGGGCTGGCCTCGCGCTCCCTGAGCTGCCTCCCTCCAGGGTCGGTGCCATCATGCCGCCCTGCTCCATCATTGCCGCCGTCGTGTTGTACTGGTCCACCCAGCACTTCAACGATTAGTGGTTCTTCACGCGATCCACCTGCACCTTGCCAGCCAGCTCGTGATTCAACACCCCGCCGCGCTTGTCGAAGTGGGCACCCCTCGCCGCGTCCTTCGCGCAGAACTTGCCGACGGAGAGGACGGGGCCCTTCACGTCGAAAACCTGGAACGTCGTCACGATGATGCGACCATCCTTCAGCCTCATCTTGACCTCCCTCTCGCCGTAATGCTGGATGCGCTGCCCGCTCGCCGCCTCGAGGTTGGGGTCTTTGCTCTCCCTCAACGCGATCCACCCGAAATCGCTGGGGCTGCAGACGTGCTCGTCGGCACAGTTGTCCACCAGCACCTCGATCGGGCACCCGGCCTCCTTCCGATCCGTGATCCTAGTCACGTAGTTGTTGACACCAGCCCACTCCGTCACCGCGAAGATGTAGCCGGACTCGTACTGCTCGTCGATCGCGTAGGTGACCTGGCGCACTCCTGGCCCAGCCGCCTGGCTTGCCGACGCCGAAGCGGCCACCGTCGATGTACCCGGACAAGTCGTGGCGTCGTCCTGGCCCAGCAGCTCGTTGACTTGCTTCGGTCCTGCCCCACGGCCCTTGCCTTTCCTGTCCTTGGTGCTCGCCTTGCCCTTCGGGTTGTACCAGCAATCCTCCTGCTCGTGCCCCTTCCGACCGCACGTCCAACATTCAACATCTCGTCCCCACGCCGCGCGTAGGTTGATGCCCTCGTCCTCTTTGGCCTTGCCCTTGCCCCGACCGCTCTTGGAACCCTTGTCCTTGCCGCCTTTGTCCTTGCCTCTGCGTGTCAGGGCGTCTACTTCCATGGCATTCGGGTCGCGTTGTTGGCCTCCACCATTGCGTCGGGCGCGGTGTGGAATCGGTATTCCAGCGACGTAGTCAGCGTTGCTCTGGAGGAACTGGAGGGTGACGCTCTTCATCATGGCGAAGTCGTCGAGGTTCTGCACCTGCAACAGCATCTTCACCGTAGCTGGCGCCTTGTCGATGTACAGCGCCTTCTTCATGGACTCGTTGAAGACGTCGCCAGAGATGACCTCCCACTTGCGAATCGTCTCTTCCCAATCGGCCAGCTTGGTCTCGTACGCTGTGAGATCCGAGGGAAACTGCGGCCAACTCAAGATGCTAGACATCAAGCTCTGAATGCGTGGCGCAGTATTAGGCTCATATCGTTTCAGAAGGGCCCTCCATGCCAAGGCCCCGTTCTGCTGGAGGTTACCGCGAAGCACCCCCAAGGCGGGCCCCTTGACCGTCATGACCAGCATGTGGAACATCTTCTTGGCTGCCTGGCGGCCTCCAGCTCCCAGCGTGCGCTCGATCGCGGCCATGGAGTCGTCGGGCTCCGCAGTCGCCTCGGCTGCCTCTATCAAGGCCGCCATCTCATCCGCCTGAACCGTCAGGTACGAGCCCATCACGAAGGACCATTCGGTCCAGTCCTCCTCTTTGCCCGTGAAGCTCGGTGGCCTGGACAGTCGAAGGACATCCTCGTCATTCACGGCCATGTCGTTGCTCTTGCCGTTCTCGTGCTGCACCGCGAGCTCGTCGGAGCCGCCTGGTGCAAGACGCGCCGCGCCGCGAGCCCGCTGGGGCCGCCTGGCGCGCGCCGATCCGAGCCCCGCCGCGCGCGAGGCTTGCCGCGGATCACGAACAGCGCTCCGCTGCCATGATTCGTTTTGTGCCAAAAGGGGCTACAGATCCAAGTGCGCACAGCGCGTTCTGGCAGGGCTCTGCCGGAACCCGCTGGTGACGATCAGTATCGACGATCCTCGACAAAGACCGAAAGCGCCCCACACCCATCTGGTCTGGAGCTGAAAAGCGCGGGTAATCGGAACGATTCTCCTCGACCGCCATCCGACGTTACGAAAAAAACACAGATGGACGCCTTCGGCACCACCGTATGCTGTATGCTTCGCGCGGGATCAATCCGTCAGGGCCCCAGGGCACGAAACGGGGCAACTGAAGCTGCCGCTGGCTTGGCCCACGACGCACGGTATGCCAGGGACCGCTCTTCCAGCTCCCGCGCAGAGCGGGTCCCCGGAGCACACACACACACACACACACACCTGCGCGTCGTCCTGGCCCGAACGAGACGGAGCCGCCGAAAGCCAAGAAACGAGGGGGGCAAGGAGGAGAAAAGGGAAACGTGCGGTCGCCGCTCTGTGGACCTTGAAAATGGGAGGAGGAGGAGGAGGAGGAGGGAGGAGGAGGAGGAGGACGGGGTGGAGGAGGAGAGGAGGAGGAGGAGGAGGAGGGGGGAGGGGGGGGTGGAGATGCCGCAGGCCAACGTCGCGATGGCCTCGGTGCTGGCTCCTGACGCCGCGCGGCTCCCGTGGAGCCCCGAGCGGCCGCGGCACTCCGACGGCGCAGCTCGCTCGATGCCGGCCGGCTGTGGGCCGCGCCGGCGGCGCAGCAGCCTCGACAGGCCCGCGCTGGGGCCGCCGCCGCGCCCGCGAGGCGCCGCCCCGCCGCAGAGAGCGGGCCGGTGCCGCGCCTGCCCGTGGTGCTGTGGGTCTCGGAGTAGATCTGCCCGGCCGCCTCGGGGGGCGAGGAGGGGGCGGAGCCGCGCGGGCTGCCGACGGCGCGCGTCGCTCCTCCTTCGTCGCCTCCTCCTCCTCCTCCTCCTACTTCTCCTCCTCCTCCTCCTCCTGCTCCTCTTCCTCCTCAACATCATCCTCCGCCTCCCCCACCTCCTCTTCATCACCATCACCATCACCTCCTCAACTCCATCATCACAATCAGAATCACCACCGCGATCATCATCCTCTTTTCATTCTTCATCATCATCACGCGCAGCATCATCATCACCAGCATTGCCCCTGGCCTCGGGCCAGAGCTGGGGGGAACGGCGAGGGGAGACAGGAGTCGGCTCACGCTCGGCACGACTTAATAATCGACCCCATTCAACAACGGGCGCGCGTTTCTGAATGAGGTAGATATGAGGATGCCGATGTTCTGCCACAGTACCTTGTCACTGCAGCCTGCGCCCCTGCTTCCGGCCTCGTGCCGGAGCGGGAGGGAACGGCGAGGGGAGACATGAGGCGGCTCGCGCTCGACACGACTTAATAATCGAGGAACGCGGACAGAATCCTTCTTCCTCGCTACCCTTCCTGGTGAACCCGTGCATTTGGCGAGCTATTTGAAGAAAACTCTATACAATAGTTGTCCGAGTCCGGGGCCATTGCTGTGTATCCGCCCCCGTATTCTCAAGTGGCCGTGGCCCCGGCTCGGCGCGTAGATTGCCACAGTCTGTCCTGCGAAAGCGACCGAAACTCCTGAGCCATCTACGCCATCGAGTTCAGCTTTCTCTCAGTCAGAGAATGCACTCGTCAATCAAGGTCGCAGCCTTCCCCGGCACACGCTGGTCCGCCAGAGCGGTCGCGCCGTCGGCGATGCAAATCCTTGCGACTTCCATCGACGACCAACGCCCCCGGATCATGCACCGGCGAACGTCTCCACGCAAAAGGAACTCAAAGGTGGCCCCCCCTCCTCATACTGCATGGCGAAAGGTGAAGACCAGCACAGATGAAGGCAGCGAGTCCCCGCTTGAACTCACGGTGAAACTCGGCGAGGCTCCAAGGCCAGAGCCTTCTGCGAGGAGCCGTCCGCGCGTCTGCGAGAAGCCGGCGCCACATCCACGCGCCAACTCCGGGGTCGTCAACTGCAGCGATCTCTCGCGCCCCCTTTTGCTTAGAAGTTCTGGTCCACGGCAAGCTCAAAGTGCCCGCGCCTGTGGCGCGCAGAGAGCATTGAGCGCCGGCGACTCCAAGGCATTCCCCTGCGCTGAGGCTCGAGTGGAACGCAGCCAGCACGCAGGCAACGAAACTGACACTACTATGCTTGAGCCCCCACCCCGCGAGCGCAAGCGCCACGCGATGAGACATCGGCGGGGACCTCTGGGGCAGTTCCAGCCAGGACCACACCCCCGAGAGCTTCCAAGCTCCAGGGCATTGTCGGCGAGTCCCGGGTAATGCTGGACACTCGAAAACGCGTCTGACGACAGCCCCTTTTGCGGAGCCGGTGGGCCATAACATTTCCAGATACTCACACACGGCGGATTCCACTTCGCCCCGAGTCTCCGGCAACGGTGAACCTCCTGACAGCAAGCAATCGGCGAACAAATTGGCAGCGTTCTTTTACCGAACGAACGTGGCGGCACTAGTGCGCGCGTCTCGGAGGTCACCGGGCATGGCTCCATTGCGGCGACGGCCAGCGACATTATTCAGCCGCTTTTCCATCGAGACGGGGCGTCGGCCGGATTGCAGGCGCTCGATGCGAATCCAAACGCCGCCCTGCAATCCACTGCCAGCTCAAGTGCCGAATACGCCCGGATCGCCGCATTCAGTTGCCTGCTCGTCGATCGGTGGCGGCTCAACGCCCTGATGTTCACCGCGCTGTCAAGGAGGTGTAGAGTAATCTTGCCCTGCCGCGAAAACAACTAAGATCTCCAGCCCAAGGCCATCGATGCTGCCTGGGCCTCGGGGACATCGATATGATGGCACCATCTCCATGGAAGCAGGTGCCCTACTCGCCAGGCCAACAAACTTGCATCGAGCTCGACCAGGGGGTAGGCCCGCCAAAGAAGCTCGTGGTCTGCATCGACTCCAAGGTCCGCTCCCGTCGTGTGACACATGCTCAGAAGTGGAAGCGCGGCCCGCTGCTCCGGCGCCCAGCTCGATCGCCACTGCGGCGGAGCCACCGCCTTTGCGAATGAGACCAAAACGTCAGCGCGGCAGGCCTCGCCCGCAGCGCAATGACACAACAAGAGCTTGTTGTGGAGATCTCCCACGCGATGAAGAAGGGCTGGCCGAATGCGAATCCAGCTCGCGAACAGCGCGCCACCGCCTCCTCGCGCGGGCACTCGCGACTGACTTTAAACGGATTGCCCCACTCACTGGCAGATAGCCACAGGCGCTTCGACCCGCGGCCTACGTAGACCACGTCGGACTGCTGCTGCTGCTGCTGGGAAGCGCACTCGACGCCCAGGTGCAGCGACCGCGCGCGCCCCACGCTGCTGCTTGAGATCGCGCCCACTGTGCCCCAACTCACTGCTGCCTGGTGGATTTCGGCCGGCGAAGGGACGAACAACAGGAATTTCCTCGCGACTGCCCAGTGCGCGACCAACCACGCGACGATCTCTGCCTGTAGCGAGTTCTCGAGTAGCGCCCTCCGCAGAGCCTCGAACTCCGCTGGGCTCCGCTTGCCTGCCGACGATCCCATACACGGCGTGGTGTAATTCCGAGGGAAGCCCACGAGCACTTCGCGCATGCGTGCGTCTGGAGGCGCAGTCGCCCGTCCGAGAAGACAACGCAGTCGTCGCCGCGGGCGGAGAGCCGTTGCTCGACCTCCTCACCCGCCTAGCGACATCCCTGAGGTAACCAATCCGACGCCGGCGGCAGCGGCGCATGCAGCTACAGCTTCAACGCGCCGTTCGCGCCCTCGCCGTTCACGTTGCACTCGAACGCGGGGTAGAGGTCCAAGCTCAGCCAACTGCATCCAGCCGACGTCCCCGGCATCGATGCGAGTCCGCCTGCGCTTGAACAGCTCGATCAGCGCGGCCACCATCTCGCCTAGCATGGAAGCACCGCCCTCCCCTAGGAAGTGGACAACAGCCTCGCCCATGAGATTCGCGAGGTCACCGACGAGCTGCCCCACGCAGTACGCGCGCTGCAAGCGAGGACCTGACATGCTAGAGGGACCCCAGCAGAGCAGACCTCCCACCACGAAGATGTCCGAGATGCGACCGGCCACGCGGACCCGCTTGATCAGCCGCTTCATGTCGACCGCCCTGATGTCGCCCCAATGCTCTGTCGCGGAGAAGGCGCACCGCGTCGCCCTCACCGCGGCCTCGTCGGTCTCTCGAATGACACGCGGAGCGCGTGGATGAGCCCCAGCACGTCGAGGGCGCGCCGGGCACTGCTGACGCCATCGGCCAGCGAGATCAGGAGACGCCTGCCTCTCGCACTCCGGGTTCCCCAGGGCCAGGCGCGCTCGCGCTAGCACTTCGCCTCTGGGCGTCAAGCCGCAGCTGCGCTTGCCGGCGCCCGCCGGCTCCGAGGCGTCAGACGCCGCTACCAGGTGGTCGACCTCGAGCTTCATGTCGGCAGCGCACAGCGGGCGACGCAGGCGGCCAGGAGCAGGTCCTCGAGCACGCCTGGCGCCCAGCACCCGCGATCCCCATTCGAGCTCAGCCACCTCCAAGCGTTCGCGAACGAGGCGCACAGGGGCCTCCAGAAGCACTGCAGCCGAACCCAACGGCCTAGCAGCACCTGGGCGAGCTTCCGCCGCGCTCGCCAATTCCGCAGCGACCAGAACGTCAGGTGCATCAGCTCGCTCAGATAGCCCTGCGGTGGACCTCGGACGCCGCGGGCGCCGTCGACAGCCTCGCCGAGCGCCGTCACCTGCAGGGTTCGATGCACATCCTTCGCCGGGAACCCAAGAGATCGCACGAGTTCGCAACAGGCGCGCGCGTCCTCGAGAATGCTCGGGATCGCGCCCCTCGGCCGCGCCGCATCTTCCCCGGGGGCAATCCCCATCACCTCGAGGTTGCCAATGCACACCACCCAGGCGCGCGTCGATTCGGCTGCACTTCCGAAAGGGAGCCGCCGCCGCTTAGCCGCCTCCTCCAGCGGGGAGAGGCCCCTCGGCGCGCCGCCAGCTCGCGCGAGCAAATTCCAGCGCAGGCGAGCGGTCACGCCGACCGCGGAGATCCAGCCCACGCCGACGACGCGGAGGGGGATGCGCGTCTTCTCGACGGCAGGCCCCCTGACAAGCTCAGAGGGCACCTTCGGCCCGATGGCCGCCCGGGGACGCCAAACATCTGGGGCCTCATAAACGTAGAAGGAGACTTTCCGATTCGCCCCGCTCCACAGCTGCTTCGACTCCACCAGCGCGAGGCCAGTGGGCCTCGACGCGCGCGGGAGCTGCCCAGCGACCCCCTCGACGCAGCACTGGCGCGCGTTCGAGGGATCAAATGGCGATTAAACGCAGTGCCGGGGCCTCCGCACCTCCATCCAGGCGGATCGGCGGGTCGAGTGGCTTGACCACACCGAAAGCCCCATGGATCAGAGGGGCCCCGTGCCGACGCGCGATCTGGCCCTCTGCGATCGCCTCCACCGTGCTGCGCGCGCACAGCCACTCGACAATCAGGGCCCAGTGGCCCGGCTCGGCCCGCGCCCGAGCACGCGGCGGGCAGCCGGGCCTCGGGCCTGCACGGGGCGAACTCAGGGTCGAGGAGCGCCCCACGCACGCAGCCAGTCGCCAGCGAGGCTGCCGGGATCGAGGCAGCCACCCCGCGAGGAGGCAGCCCAGCCAAGATCTGTGCCAGAGTCAGCTTGCGCGGCACCGACACCTCCGACCCGTCGTAGGCGACCTTCTTGTCCTTCAAACGCTCCCCCCAATCTGGGTCAACCTCGTCCGGCCCCCTCAAGATGCACTCCGATACTCGACGGCCCAGCCTCCGCTGCGCCGAAAATTGCGCCTCGCTCTCACCCGCGGCCGCGAGCTCAGCACGCGCCAGGCCCCGCGGGAAATGCCCC